CACAAACAATCGTACTCACCACAGAGTTGCTCCGCCGTTGCCCGATGCCTCCTAGGCTGCTGACTCCTCTCAGACTCCTCCATTTCACACTGGTACAACGCGGCACTCGCGAAAGAGAAGCTAGTTACCGAAGTAACGCACGACACGACATCGCTGCAACGAGAACGAGAGTCAATCGCGCACAAAAGTACGAGCTAGATCTGGCGAGACGATCATGAGACGTCGCGCGAAATGACGGGAACGTTTTGGCGGGAAGGACTCGATCGCGGAGATGCGCGAGGCTAACTTGACGAGCGTCGCGTTCGACAAGGCGATTTCGCGCCAACGTTTCTCTCGCCGCGCATCACACGTGGGAAAACTCGGATATTACTGCACGCGCGAGGAGATACGAGTTAAAATTGAAGAACTCGGTGCGCTCGCGGCGCGCGTGGATACGACGACGCCGTGGCGACGCCGGCCGCGCGTAAGATTTCGGCCTGGATTTCCCAGATTTACGCGCCTCGGAGGTTTACCGGCGCGCGAGGGTCGAGTCTACGTCGCGCGATTGTTAAACTGGACACAATGGTAAACTTACTGCGATTGTGCGTGCTGTGAAACGCGACGACGATCGCACGCGGACCGATTCGCTGCGTGTCCACGGCGCTCCTCGAATGGACCAACATGGCGCCGTTCCCGGCGGCCACTGCGCGGCGCTACTACGGCGGCACTATACGAATCACGTAATCGACGCGATGTACCTCGAATTCTCCCGAGGAACGAAAACGACGTCCCGCGGCACCTGCAGAATCAATCAGCTCGATCGCGTGGTTGTGGCGTCGCTTATTTACGCGGAAATTGATCGCGCACTTCAGTCCGTGGCGTACATGCCGGCGGCTCGAACGATACTGCGAAGCGCGAACGTCCTCTGACCGCGCGGCGGTCGCTGGCGGCGCGGCGGCTCGACGTAAACAATCACCGAGCGGTGCGGGAGTTTGAAAAACACTAAAAAAAAACTTTGACGAATAATGAAAGATACGCTGTACCTGCCCCGGTGATTTTCACGGATAAACGGCTATTATTCTTCGACGGTAACGGTTGATCGCTGTTGATCGCTTTGAAAAGTCTTTATTATTTCGATTATCTAAACGGCACCCCTGAACGCGACGAAAATGGAAACTTTATGTTATACGCGCAATTTTATACGTACTCGTAATAATGTTAGAGAGATTATTCCTTGGCGAGCGATCGATATGTTGTAATGTTTTGTTATTATTTTACCCGACGATTTGTGTATTACCTTGCGCTTTTGATCTGAAAGTGATTAAATGTTTAACGTGAACCGACGAAAATTTTAAAGCATAACGTGAGAGAGATTCGCCCGAGTTTGGCGGTTAAAAAAATGTATTTATATCGCTCGTGGATGTATCGAAACTAACTAATAATTTATATATGTAATGCCTCGCATTTTCTTTTCCAATTACGCGTGATATTTATTTCGACAAATCACGGTAGAATTCAACGATACGATTACGGATCACGACAGTTACTTAAACGCGATTGATATAGTAAATGTTGATAATTCTCTCGTACAAGACGATCGCGTTACGTAGGAGATGATCGCGTTACGAGGAGCGACGCGAAGACACGCGGAAAAAGAAGCCTCGCTCGACTTGGGAGCCGAGCCGAATAATTCAACACAATAGATTGTTCTCAACCGATTCGAGGTGTTTACGGCGCTACGTCATTTCTTGAACTCCGCGCTCGATTTTCGGCAGAGGTGTTTACGGCGCCGTACGCGCGGGATCATTCACGCGGCGACAGTCGAATTGATCGATCATGCCCGCGCCGCTTTGCATATCGTATTATTCTTTCTTGATACGCGTTCGCGACAAGTGCGGAAAGAAACCGCGATCGCTATTGCGCGTAGTGGCAATCGAACACAGTGAAAACCGAAGAAGTGGTATTTGGATATAGTGTCAGTGACGAAGGACTTTCCAAACGGAAGCGTAAATTCGCGAGTGAAGTGGCATTTGGATGCAGTGTCGTGAACGAGAGACTTTTATAAACGGAAACGTAAATTCGCGAGTGGTGGCATTTGGATGCAGTGTCGTGAACGAGAGACTTTACAAACGAAAGCGTAAATTCGCGAGTGAAGTGGCATTTGGATGCAGTGTCGGTGACGAGAGACTTTCCAAACGGAAGCGTAAATTCGCGAGTGAAGTGGCATTCAACGCAAGCGAATAGAAACGGAGTAAAATTCTTTTCGAAAACTTACAATATTACGTCATTGATATTAAACTAAGAAGCACAGGAGTTTGACATCCATTTTTATTTTGACATCCACCTTTAGTTTAATATCAATGATTACTCCTGTTACGAAAAATTAATAACTCTCTCGTGTTACCGACATTTCATGCACGCAGCACGGAACACAACCACAATTGGGCACTGCATTACCCGCTTGAAAAATGGTCGTAGCGCGGACACACACCAAGTGGAGACTTTATCGGCAGTGCTTGAGAATGGGTGTAGCGCAGTAGTTTCAAAAATGAAAATGGGCGTTTAGGCGCTGGAATCAGCAGAGCGTAAAATAAAACACCGGCGTCGCCGCTCTCAGGTTTCTTTCTTTCTGCTGCAGGCACAGTATAACCAGTATGCCCACTCGCTCTTTTGTTTCACGTTCGCGCCGATCCGTACTGCGCATCCGACATGTTTTTATTATAACCAATCACAGGATTTTTGTACGTGTGTTAGTGCAAAGTCGGTGTGACATAGAAAAATTCGCAGTGTTGACGAATAACGCGTAAATACTTTTATACGTTGGAGCAAGTAATTACATTAATTACTTTTATTAGAACATTTTCTTTCGTAGGCCATTTCTATTTACAATAAATAATGTACGCCAGTTCGTATTTTTATTATATCCAACAGTGTATCAACGGCTAAAAGTGCCTGGGCCCTTTTCAGGATCGTATCCAGGAAAGGCGCATACGAACTGGCGTACATTATTTATTGTAAATAGAAATGGCCTACGAAAGAAAATGTTCTAATA